TTTAGGAATCAGTTAATTTTTAATTTCCTAATTTAGGGTAAACGCGGTATATTTCGACACATTAAGGACGCATCAAGAAATGAAAAACTATAAAAAAAAAACAGTATGCGTTACGTAAGTTCTGTTGCCTTCAGGCTTCACATGACTCTCAAAACTCTTCACTACGCATCAGCAATGATGAAACGTCACAAAATGTTGCCATATTTATTAAAAAGCCTTTAGAATGGAAACCTACCAAATCCCTATATTCCGTCACTGTGTGTGGCAATATTCGGCACGTGGTGAGGCGTATTCCGTCCGCGCTTCAAATTCTACTGATACGTAATGCCGTCATCCACGTGTTCGAATTCCGTTCGCTGTGTGAGCTGTATTGGAATACAACACGGCTTTGAATTAGAACACTAATGAATATTGAACACTACTTAATTACGCTTTTAATTAACAACTATTAAGCTTTTAATTAAGCAAATTTTAATTTTTGTACACAGCTTGGAACGATCTGTGTGTGTCCAATTCAAGTTGTGACGGAATTAGTTTTCATGTGTCTAAATCCATTTCTCAACTTTATCATCTATTAATTTATTTAACACTTGAAATCAGCAAATACAAGTATACTTGAAGGATTTCTAATATATTCACAGACGTATTTAAAAGTCTCAAACCATAATATTCTTTCTACACAAATAGTTTATCACTATTTGGCAGAGCAAGGTCAACTGTCAACTTTGACACATTTTTCAATGATCTCATTGGGTGGCATGCACTGTCTCTCTTTGGATCTTAACATTTTCCCGCTAGATGGCCCAGACCTAGTGTTTTGGCAGTAGTTTGACGCGCAAATGTATGAAACTATTTCAACCATCAACGAACGCATGGAACTGAAACAAAGCTTAATATAAAGGAAAAATTAGAGAGGTGTCGGAATTACCCACGATGTCGGAATATACCACGTTTATCCTAGCTGTTAATTAAAAGCCTAATTAAGTAGTGTTCAATATTCAAGAGTGTTCTAATTCAAAGCCGTGTTGTATTCCAATACAGCTCACACAGCGATCGGAATTCGAACACAAGGATGTTGGAATTACATATTAGTAGAGTTTGAAGCGCGGCCGGAATTCGTCTCACAACGTGACGAATTTAGTCACACACAGTGTCGGAATAGGCTTTAGGGATTTGGTAGGTTTGCACTCTAAAGGCTTTTAAATAAATATGGCAACACTTTGTGACGTTTCATCGTTGCTGGTGCGTAGTGCGGTGTTGAGTCACGTAAAGCAAACAGAACTCGAGTAACGCATACGGTTATTTTTTTATAGTTTTTCATCTCTCGATGCGTCCTTGATGTGTCGGAATATACCGCATTTACCCTAGCCTACTTTGAAGTTTCTCAATGTTAAAAGCATTTAAATCCATGCAGAAATTTAAATTTTTAATATTATTTAGGCCAAATTAGGCTCCTAAGGACTTGAAACCAGACTTTGTCAATGCCTTTACTTTCAAATTTTTTTACAAATCTGCTGCAGCTGGCTGCTAAAGCTATGCTGGACTGCTTTTTTTTTGTTCATTTAGTACACAGTTGTCTTTTGTTTGAAAAGGTGCTAATGTTGTGTGGCAGTCTGTAAATAAGCATTGATTGGTTCAAAATGCCACAATATCATGTGTTTTTATATTGCCTATAGAATTGCAATATGCTCTGAACCATTCTGAAATATTGGGCATGAGCCACCTGGGAATGAGAAAAGCACCCATGCTCAGGATGGAATTCTAATTTCGAAGGTTCATATATTATTTCGATTCACCAAGACCACTTTTTCTACCAACATCGTTATTTGAGGCAAAAAATGAACTTCTTAAAGGCTTGAAACATGTATGCTAACTTGCTCAATTTCTATAAAGTACCTAATCACTTGAAAGTTGTAAGCCTGCACCTTTCACTCAACAATTAAAATTAGACTTATAAGAAGTATTAGTTAGTTGAAAATTTGTCTCTTAAGTTGACTGCAATGAACTAAACTTCATTAAGTAATTATAACTACGCTGCAAAGCAGAGTTTTCCATCATGCACACTAAACACGCAATTCGGAGTTCCGACGAGCAGAACTACATATCACATCAGCTAACGTGCAACTGAATTAAATACCTAGCTTCTTTCCCACATCCGCTCCCAGTGCATAATCTAGCGGGATGATCAATGCAGATGGTAACCGAGTCTGACTAATCATTCGTATACTTAATGCAAGAGAATGAATAATTATGTTGTTTCTGATAAACAAACAAAAACTTTTCCTGTTTCTGATCAAACGAACGAAAACTTCTGATCAAACGAACAAAAACAAACTTTTTGAAGATAATTCTGAAATCGTAACGTCTATTTAATTCTAATACGGATAGTTAATTTTTGCATTGTGTTTCCAAAAATCAAATATTGCATTTCTTTTAATTGAAAAACATTCTTTTACATCAAAAATGATGAATTTTTTCTTACAGCTCCTCACGCATGACAAATGAATGCTCCTCATATTGACGAATGACGATCTTACTCTTTTAGCTAAAAATTTTAAATGAACGATTTTGTCATTTCAAAGACTCCATTGATTACCAAACTTTAGTTTTCGGAAGTGTATTCAAGAAAAGTTTCTGAAATAGTATTATAGTAATAACATTTCCATTATCATTCTGAAATAGAAGCGTCATTTCCGTTCTTATATATAAACAGGATAGAGGGCAGAAACCAACACCTCATCGAACCGCTCTATGTTTTATATAATGAAATAGTTTCCCATTTTAAACAACGAACATTTTCTAAAAGACACAACACGTTCAAAAATACGCAATGCCAGACGAAATCATTCAGAATTTGAAGTGAATTTATTAAGATAAATTCAATATAACAGGCAAAAAATGAAAAAAATTCAAATCTGGAATGTATAAATGGGTTTTTATAATTAAAAAAAACTTTCAATCATTTAAATCTCAGAATGGAATGTGAATCAAATCTATTTATTGTGAAATTAAACTAGACACTACCAAAACATAAGTGTGTGTGACACCGTCTTGTAATACGTAAACATAGAAAGCACGATGTGAATGTACGCAGTGAAAGAGTAGCAGTTTATCTCATAATTTTGTGTGATATTGAAAACTTTGTTGGTGTTGTCAAATTGTGAGAATTTTTTACGAATGTGGATGTGTTTTTTTTTATTTTAGAATGTATTCATTGCAAAAATGTGTCCACTAGCCTGCAGATAAATGACTAGTTGACTTGATTAGGCGTTGGCAACATGGGATTGGATTTCAAACCACGCACGATTTCGGAAGCACGGCAGTTTCTAATGAGCTCAGTTTATCAATTTTAATTGCAGTGAAAGGTGGTGTAATGCGGTGGTAGGGTTGGTTTTTTGATACGTTTTCTTATATTGACATGAGAATATATTACCTATACAGAATTCCACACTGCCCATGCTATTAATTGGCCAATTTCATTCAGTTTCTTTTTTTGCCTCTGAGGCTCTGGCTAATTCTTCTCATAAATGACAAAAAATTGCATAGTCATAACCATGATTTTTATATGAAGAATTTTCCTTTTTGCAAGACTAAAAAATTACTTTCTACTTGTTCCTGTTTTTTATCTATAAAACACTTGAATTTTTAAATCATGTCTAACCTAAAGTACAGTTGACAGGAAACTACATTTACTCCAAATCTAGATTGGATTTAGTTAATAAATTCTAATGCAGCTAACTGGAATTGCATGGAACCTGTTAGAACAGTTTAACCCAGCCAATCAGTATTTCTTGTACATTTCAATGCAAAAAATTTCTTAATTCAAATATATCTTTTATTTGACTTATTGTGACTTATTTATTTGATTTATTGTGCACTATGTATTACTCTAGGTTTATACTTGATCAATTTGGATGCAGTAAGCAGCTTCCAAGTTACTGCTCAATGCTCATTTAGGAACTTCTTTGAAATGTTGACCCAGAAACAGCAATAGTCATCAAGTTTTCATTTCAGTACCACCTTTTCATATTTACATAAAATTTGAGTGAAGTATTTTGTATAAATGCTTTTTTTTATTATTCTGCAGGTTGTAGTTCAAAAAATGGAGAGCATTAGCAAGGATGTCATCTGCACAGATGGCAAAGACAAACCCATAGAGAAAATGTCATTATTTGCATTATCAATTTCATTATTTACTAAAATGTTCTTGGTAAAATGTGGAATGTAGCCATGTCATGATCACCTTTATACCAATTGGGCTCTTGAGGCAACCATGGCTAGCATTGGCCTTGATAAGCAGTCAGTTTTGTAATCGTAATCAGTTGTCAGAAGGTTCTGAACCTTGACACTCCAATTCACAGCTAATCATTTCAAAGCACTTTACATGCATGCTGAAGTCTAGCGTAAAAGTTAGCTGTCATAAAGTTGTACTGATCAACTGGTGTACTGCATTGTCATTTAATTTGTTGCTATTTATTACTAAAAGTTGAGAAAAAACTTTTCATTTCATTTTCAATATGCACACAAATTGTTACAAATACAATTTCAACAAAATAAATTCAGTGAATTATTTGAAATGTGATCCACTGTGACTTCTGATCATGTGTCATATAAAAGGCAAGGGATACCGTAGTGAAGCCATGAAACTGACACTTTTGGATATGAATAGTGCATGTAAATAGCTTCCAATTTTTCTACTCTTATTGAGATTTAATATTGCCTAAATGGCTATTTTGATGGCTCTCTATTGTCTCTGATGTGGCTTTTTTTGCAAAATTAATTAATATATGTCTGTCATTGTGCTTGGTACAAGTCCTCTCTGCTATTAAGCTGCTACCCCTATTGAGAAATAATATTACCTAAACAGCTATTTTGATAGCTCTCTGACGTTGATTTTTTGCGAAATTAATTAATATATGCCTGTCATTGTGCTTTGTACAAGTCCACTCTGCTATCAAGCTGCTAATTCAGCTGGTGATTTTAATGCACTTGTGCAGGAGATGTTGAAGGACGAGGTGCGCACGCTCACATATCGCAATGCTATGTTCCACAACAGACACCTCTTCAAAGACAAGGTGAAGTGCCTGGCTGGTGTAATAATAATAATAAGTTTTTAGTTGAGAAGTACTAGCACTGCTGTTGTTACGATTGCCTGGAAATGTTAGTTCCTCCGAGATCATTCATTGATAGCTTATCAGTTTGTGAAGGTATACAATGCTGCCACAGCATGCCTTTCAGTTTATAAAGATGTTGCTGAAGTGACATTAGTTTGCTGAGGTTATGTTAGAATGTCAACACGAGTTTAAGATAATGCTTATATAAAGAATTGGATCAAAACATAATATATTCATCTTTCAAAATGGCAGTTATTCCCAAAAGCTATTTAACTGAAATTTATCAGAAATTTTGAATATGTTGCTTGCAACCAAGGCTGTTCATGCGCTGGTAGCATTGGATGGAAGGTCTATTTACACATCACAACATACAGCTTGCACCACTAAAATGCAACACAACCCCGTGCAGGTGGTGCTGGATGTGGGCTGTGGCACTGGTATTCTCTCAATGTTTGCTGCCAGGGCCGGCGCCTCAAAAGTCTATGGCATTGAGATGTCAAATATTGTTGAGCACGCAAAGAAAATTGTTGCTAACAATAATTTGGACAAAGGTTGGTATCTTTAAATTATTCCTCACAGGTTTGACTTAGTGCTGCAATATTTTGTAAATTATTTTTTTTTTCAAGTGTTTTGAGTCCAATTTTGGCTCATTTGGCCGAGTATTGATGCAACTGCATGTGTGCCAACGTTCGTATGCCAAATGAATGTGAATGCATTGCAAATTGTTGATAGCAGAAATTTTCATGTAGTGGTGGAGATCATCCAGGGTAAGGTGGAGGAAGTGAGCCTGCCTGTAGAGAAGGTGGACATCATCATCAGCGAGTGGATGGGGTACTGCCTGTTCTACGAGAGCATGCTGGACACGGTCCTGTTTGCCAGAGACAAGTGGCTCGCCCCCAACGGTATCCTCTTCCCTGACCGTGCCACGCTCTTCGTATCTGCCATTGAGGTGAGATGCGTGCAGCTTCGGGTTTGCATGGGATGCATACAGCAGCGTGCTGTGTCACCAGTATTATTACGTGTTGCATTTGTTAATCGAAAGTGAAGGGTTCAAGGCCAGTTGCATGCTCTCTACAGACCGCACTGAGCTCTTTACATCTGCTGTTGGTGGCACTGCTTTTTTTCACGCCTAATCAAGTTTTAATCTTGGAGTTGGTATTGCTGAGTTGTATTACACGGATCTAAAGAACCACAATTTCTTTTCATCTGCAACCGTCAGAACAAGATTTATTTAACGTTTGCTACTTAATACTCGGTTCTATATTGTTCTTTCTTGTTAGTGCCCTTACCAAAATCAAAGAATTGACAAAATAATTCACAAGGGATTAAAGGACATATAATTAAGGGATCAAAGGACATATAATTGAGGATTTATTTATTACATGGAACAGATGTGTTCTTATACTTATTTTTCAGTGATCGAAAGCATCAATGGTTATTATTGAACTGTTTCTCAATTCGTTGGATCGGAGAAATCGGGAATGTTCTGCAGCTAAAAATCATTCAAAATGCTACAATCTCACGTCATGACCGTAGGTAGATGGACGATAATATCAGCTTGTATGACAGTATTTACGTCATTACCTCATATTGTTCAATCTCTCGCCAGGACCGCCAATACAAGGACGACAAGATCAACTGGTGGGAGAACGTGTACGGCTTCGACATGTCCTGCATCAGAACGGTGGCTATGACCGAGCCCCTCGTGGACGTGGTCGAGGCCAAGCAGGTGGTCACTAATTCGTGCCTCGTTAAGGAGGTTGACCTCTACACCGTCAAGAAAGAGGACCTCGCCTTCAAGTCCCCCTTCCATCTGCAGGTACCAAGTCAATTCCCTTCCTGTGCATGTATACAACACATTTCAAAGATGATAAATGTATGTTGGAATCTGAACGAATTTTGTAAGGTTTACAGCATTTTTCTAGTGCTGTTTGAAACCTACTCCTCGCTGCGTTCTTAGCTCTATTACCAGACATCAAATAAACATTGAACGTTGAAGTACATTGATAGGATACCAAACCTGGACGGAGTTCGACTCTTAGCAGGCTTTCTATCTTGAGCAATTACATGAATAAAATCAAATTTCTTGTCACAATTTTCTCAGCTTTGACGCTTTCTTTTTAGTCAAATATTCTGTCTCTTTTTAGTTATATTGCTACAGAAGTAAAATATTTGAACTATGCGAAACTAGCCATCGTTTTTAATCCCGTTTTTTTACCACTAGTGTTACTATTAAAAAATGAACAAACACCGACCGTTACTATGTCACACAGGTCCGCCGGAACGATTACGTTCACGCCCTCATCACGTACTTCAACATCGAGTTCACAAAGTGCCACAAGCGCACAGGCTTCTCTACAGCCCCTGAGGCTCGCTACACTCACTGGAAACAGACGGTCTTCTACCTGGACGACTACATCACCGCCAAGAACGGCGAGGAGATCACGGGCACCTTCACCATGAAGCCCAACGAGCGCAATAACAGGGACCTCGACTTCCACGTCAGCGTAGAGTTCGAGGGCGAGCTTTCTTCTTGTAAAGAAAGTCACAGCTATAAGATGCGCTAACGTCCTATTCTTAGTGCTTATTTCAGGTGGGTCGCAAGTAACGTTTATTCCTACTAGTTTTATTCATCAAGATGTAATAATCTGTTACTTTGAATACTTCTGATGTTAAAAATGAGGTTGTGATTCCCAGGTTTGCGATAAGTATTTTACCAAAACGTATTGCGCTTTAATGCGTAATTTAATTCCGTTAGCCAAACTACCACCGAGTAGTCCAATAAGAATGAACTTGATTCAGAGCAATTTGCTCAAAGAAATGTACAGTTCACAAGTTGAGCTATACACTGCCGAAAAGCTGTTGTCCTCGATATATATTCACTTGCCCCCCAATTTATTTCATTGTATTACGTTAAAATATTCTAATGAGAAACAGACATTTTGTTGACGTTATGGCTGATGTTAATTTACATAATTATTGCAGGTTACCGCCTTTAGTGTCCGGTTTCGGTCTTTCATCGTCGGCTAGAGAAGATTCATCGTCGGCTAGAGAAGATTTCCGTTGAGTACGACTGTCATATCTCTGCGACTGTCGTATGCGATGGTCTGTTCTTCACGCAACGGCTTTGAACTAAATTACTCGTGCATCACATGTCAAGTTTAATACATTTTCTGTATTTTGAAAATTCAACTAATTCAGCAGTATTCAGTTATCCACACACCAAGAAATACCCGTTATACAACCACCAGAAATGCACTGGTTAACTGGAATCTCGTACACTTTACTTCTCAATGCTTCCTTGGGCCAGATACAGAAAAACTCGCGGAAGCTGTGCAATGGTGGCAGGTCTGGGTTAACCGCCTGTGATTGGCATGACCGTTTGACGGGACGACGCTTGACTGGCGAAGTTAGCATCAAATTCCGCCAGTATTTGTGCCCAATATTTAGGATAGGACATGAACTTCTGTAGGTAAAGTGCGTATACGTAACGTAATGAATCATGACGCTAATAATGCAAAGGATTGGTCACTGTATATCTGAGCGCACACCATAGGCGGGTAGTACGCTTCGCCTCGATAGGAAAGACACGTGCGCGGCTTAATAAACTTTTTTTATATAGCTTGTTTCTTTGGCCTTTCCAGTTTTTAAGGTATAACAGGCATTACATTGTTAACAGCATTCATCTTGCATTGCTTGCTGACCGGAATTCCTGTTTCTATGTCACTCGTTACTGCCCCCTAACCAGATGGTCAGGAGCGTTAGTGCGTTACTAGTATGCGGTATCCTATCTCGTTAACATTGCTCAATACTTTATGTGGGTTACGTTTGACGCTCGATGAACTATGTTTTTTGTGACTAACGCTACTTCCCTGCAATTTGACGTATTGCTTAATTGTGCTTAATATTGAATCCTAATGAATTGTCAGGGGGAATGAAACGCCGTTATAGTATAAAATTTTAAAGAAGTTCCTTGAAGATCTCAAGTCAAATGAAATTATAAAATTAAAAGAAATAAATGCCCAGCGATGTATCATGTTGGTGTCAGAGGTCACTTCGACGTGACTGAAGAGTCCTGTTGAAACGACCTTAAAATGTGACCTACACGTTCAATCAATAAACATGACTGTTAGACTTCATCATAAGAGATTCATCACGAAACGCGCGGATTTCAATATCTCGCACCCGTGAACTCAAAGCCCGAGTTGGACCCTCAAAGCCACGCACGTCTCGGTAATATAACCTGTTCATAAGTTTAATTTCGCCCTACCGAGGTTATTCCTTACTGCGAAACTATTCAGCAGGCACCGTGAAACAAAACATTTGCCACACTAGGTATCTGGATTAGAGTAATTTTAGCTCAAACAAAAAGAATGATGAAAAAATATGGTAGATCGCAAGCTTATCGTTCGATGTTTACGATTATTTACATTCAGATCAGCCGGCAACACTTTAACTAAGCTAATTAGGTATAACGCGCTCAAAGTGAAAGTTTGTAGTGTATACAAAGACGATTAGGTGGTGAAACAAACATCCTGTAAGTGGTGGAGGTGGTGAAACAAACATCCTGTAAGTGGTGGAGGTGGTGAATCCAATATCCTGTAGTTCGTGGATGTGGTGAAACTCACGTTTTAGCTGGTGAAACCAACATCCTGCAGATAGGAAAGCTGGTAAAACACAGAAACATTGGCACTTGAGTGGTGTTGGGTCCTACAGAAGGTAGAAGTGGTGAAACGACAACTGAAATATTGTCTTTATGTGAAATTTGCGACGTCTTTATCCGCAGCCACGCTGATGCCCCGCCCTCATCGTGCACCATTGCACCGTCATCCCAAGGCAGGTTTCCATGGTACCGGTGCCCGGACGTATTGTTTGACGCATCTGCTCTCATTTGAACTGAAGCATTTGAACTAAGGGCAGGGTGGCCCAGTGGTTAAAGTTCAGAGTACCGGGATTGGAGCAGAGAGGTGCGGGTTCGATCCCAGCTCTGTGCGCCAGTTTCTGGCCAGAATCGGCGAGGAGGCCGGGCGGTTAAGCACAGCAGAATTTGAATCAGTGCGAGTTGTGAGTTCGAGACCGCAACAAGCTGTGGATGTTCTGCGATGTTAAGAATTGGCGACAGGCCTACGGTCTAATAAACGCTGAAACCGCTATATAATGTTGTCACTTGTTACTTGCCCAGGGTAGTGAGGTCATAGGCGGAAGATCCAGGAAGAGTCTTAACTCTGGTAGCAATGCGGTTGTTAAATGGAGGTATCCTGCAAAGTCTCTTCCTTCTTTTCCACACTTCTATTTAACTTCACTTATTGTTGTTTGTCTGTCTGCTACAAATCTTATAATCGATATTTAACATACTTCTATCTGCCTAATCGATCTGAAATTTACACACTTGCGTTAAGTCGGAGACAATGCATGAATTAATGGACAGAATCACCAAATAAGTGCTCAATCAGTGGTAATCAATCAATTCTTTTTTCATATGAAAAAAATTATTTGCATGAAATCTTATACTTCACAAGCAGATGCAGAAAATTTTCATCAGATAGTAGCTTATTAAAGCTGTGTGCTGATATTCAAAATCTATAAATTGTGCTTTTTAAATGGTCAAAAGAAGCAAATCCGCTGATTACACTGGGCTGTGATCTGTATTCTAAAGTTAATTCCCGGCAGTTGAGACTTCGGGCAATTGAGTCAATATATGGTCTAGCGTGCCTATGGCTAAATGGCATTAGGGTGGGTAAACATATATGAATGGCATTAGGGTGGTAAACATATAATGAATGGCATTAGGGTGGGTAAACATATAATGAATGGCATTAGGGTGGTAAACATATAATGAATGGCATTAGGGTGGGTAAACATATATGAATGGCATTAGGGTGGGTAAACATATATGAATGGCATTAGGGTGGTAAACATATATGAATGGCATTAGGGTGGTAAACATATATGAATGGCATTAGGGTGGTAAACATTAATGAATGGCAGTAGGGTGGGTAAACATATAATGAATGGCATTAGGGTGGTAAACATATATGAATGGCATTAGGGTGGGTAAACATATAATGAATGGCATTAGGGTGGGTAAACATATAATGAATGGCATTAGGGTGGGTAAACATATAATGAATGGCATTAGGGTGGGTAAACATATATGAATGGCATTAAAGTGGGTAAATGTATGTCACCCCTTGTCATTCTATTGATTCATTGTACACGTGGTAACATCGGAGACACCGGCCTCTTTAGAAGTGTGCTCTTATAAAGTACTTTTGAAACCCATATAATTTATTGTAAATATGTCACAATCAGGAAAAATTGTGTTGCAAGAGCGAGAGAACAACACTTGGAGCAACACGTCAAAGAAACTTCAACAGAACCCTTGAGAACTCGCGCTGTTTGACCCACTTCTCTATGACCCAGTTCTGTTTGACCCACTTCTCTACGACCTAGTTCTGTTTGACCCACTTCTCTACGACCCAGTACTGTTTGACCCACTTTTTTAAGACCCAGTACTGTTTGACCCACTTCTTCTCCTTGGGGTTGTCGAAGTACTCGACGCGGTCCTTCTTGCGCCTGACGCGGGCGCTGTTGCGGGGGTTGAAGTCCTTCAGGTACTTGAGCTGCTCCTCGGGCACCAACCCCTTCAGGAGGTGTGCTGCTAGGCCCTGCACATCATGCCATCACATTAGTGCGTCATGCCATCACATTACCGCGTCATGCCATCACATTACCGCGTCATGCCATCACATTACCGCGTCATGCCATTTCACACAAGATATTGGTTCTGACACACACCAGATCAAGGCACTGGCACACACCAGATCAAGGCACTGACACACACCAGATCAAGGCACTGGAACACACCAGATCAAGGCACTGGCACACACCAGATCAAGGCACTGGCACACACACCAGATCAAGGCACTGGCACACACACCAGATCAAGGCACTGACACACACCAGATCAAGGCACTGCCACACACCAGATCAAGGCACTGGCACACACCAGATCAAGGCACTGACACACACACCAGATCAAGGCACTGGCATACACCAGATCAAGGCACTGACACACAACTGCCATGCGGTTGGCAACAACGCACAGACCGCAACTACTCACAGCGGTCGTGGGGCGGCGGCTTTCTTCTGTTACGCTGCTGTTGTTGTTGGAGGCCGTGGCATAGCCGTTCGAGGATGTGGAGTCATCGTGGGAGCTCGATGGGGAAGGAGAGTGAGCGCGCGAAGGCTCCGCCGATGACTCATTCGATGATGATGAGGTTTTGGCTTCCTCCTGAGAAACACTCGCCCCGTAGAGGCCTTCCTTGATCCCCATCATGAGTCGGTCCACTTTGCTGGCGCGCTTGATGTTCTTTCCCCGCTTGGCGGAGCCTCGCGAGGATTTCGTGGCTCTAGAGGCATTACTGCTATCCTGAACTGCCGTGCTGCTGCTTTGAATCTCCATATTGCTGCTCTGAACTGCTGTACTGCTATCCTGAACTTCCGCATTGATGCCCTGTACTGCAGCGCTGCTGCTCTGAATAGCACCGTTGCTGACCTGAGTTGCTGTATTGCTTGCTTCTCCTGTCAAGCTCCTGCAATGAAGCTCGATGCTGTTATCCTCAATTGCTGGAATACTTCCCTGCACTGCCATGCCGTTGCTCTGGACTTCTATGCTACCGTCAGGTGCAGTTACGCTACTGCGTTGTACATCTGAGCTGCTCTGTACTGGCACGCCACTACTACTGTTACTAACTTCAGTCCAAGTGTCAGTAATTATAACACCACTGCCACCAACGGCATTTGTGTTGAAAACACCAGCTGCTTCGCTACCTCGAACTGTCGGCACACTGCCCAAAAAAGTAGCGCCACTACCACGGACAGCGGTACCCCTGCCTCGAAATGCGGTCGCACTGCCGCGAACTGCCGTGCCGCTGCCACGAACGGCAGTGCCACTGCCACGAACGGCCGTACCACTGCCACGGACGGCCGTGCCACTGCCACGAACGGCCGTACCACTGCCACGGACGGCCGTGCCACTGCCACGAACGGCCGTACCACTGCCACGAACGGCCGTGCCACTGCCACGAACGGCCGTGCCACTGCCACGAACAGCCGTGCCACTGCCACGAACGGCCGTGCCACTGCCACGAACGGCCGTGCCACTGCCACGAACGGCCGTGCCACTGCCACGCACCGACGTACCACTGCCACGAACGGCCGAGCCACTCCCACGAACGGCCGTGCCACTACCACGAATAGAAGAACCGTGTGGCACAGATGTTACAGGACCAGACGCATTTCCTCTCATTTTGGAGCCTCTTGTTGCCACATTTTTGCCTCTAGGGACGGAGACAGCAGGCGATGAACTAGCGGTCGCAACAGCGTTATTGGAAGGGATGCCTGGAGTGATGCTGCTACTGCTGCTGGAGAAGTCCTTAATGATGTTCTCGATGGTGTTCCTGATGCTCATCGATGATGCTGGCGTGCTGATTACTCCGTCAACTGAAGCAGCAGTAGGAGTAGACGTCGTTAATGCAGCTGCAGTGGCACTTGATCCTGATCCAACAGGGGAAGTAGTACTTGATCCTGACGGAGCAGAAGTAGATTCCTGTTCCATGGGCTCCTCCTCGTCATTGAGGTCAGTAAGAGGCAAGTTCTGCTGTGCTACTGCCTCAGGCAGCGTCACGTCCTTCCAGTCGACGCCGGTGTGCACCTCCAGGGACAAAGATCCCCGCTGCTGCTGTGTCAGCGAGCTCGCCGCGATGGGATGACCACGCAGCTTGCGCTGCACAAATGAGTTTTTTATCATTAGACAGAACATGCGTGTTAAGAACGAAATGGACTATTAAATATAATTTTCACATGCAGAATGCACTGTTTAAAAATGTTGAAATTACAAAGAACACCTGCTATGAAATAAAAACAGCAGCAATACATTTTGATACAATTTCAGCAACATTTAATGATTAAAAATTGCATCAACAGCCAAACGTGAAAAGAAGAAGAAAGTTTTTATCTGAATAGTTTACGCAAACAAACAGATCTCTCCATCAAAATCTGTGCTGCCATACTCAGTATTGAGGGTACAATGAACAGGAATATGCAGGATAGTCTGGTGAAAAAATCACGGAACGAAACAAAAGGCAGTAAACCTGACCTGATAAGAGAGGCAGGAGGCAGGTCATAAATAAACAGGAAGTAGGTCAGGGATAAATAAGAGGCAGGTGAGGGATAAATAAGAGGCAGGTCAGGGATAAACAAGAGGCAGGTCAGGGATAAACAAGAGGCAGGTCAGGGATAAACAAGAGGCAGGTCAGGGATAAATAAGAGGCAGGTCAGGGATAAACAAGAGGCAGGTCAGGGATAAACTAGAGGCAGGTCAGGGATAAACAAGAGGCAGGTCAGGGATACTATAGGCAAGTTACAATGATGTAAACTGGCAGGAAGCTGATGTAGTGATTGTAGAGCTGAGATGTCAGAGGCGTATACTCGATGATCTGCGCCACCCAGCAACATCGGCACATCGTCTTGGTGAAGAGCAACATCTGCAGGCAGCTGCATACAACAAGGCCTTTAGATTCTGTGTTTGCAGATGTACAAGTGAGCTACTAATCTTGACAAATCTCTTATTATACAAATTCAGTATTAAGGATTGATAGGCAATATTGACGTTTGAAACAGATGTTTGAATAAAATGTGTAAATTTGTAAGAGACCTGCCATCAGCTTTGGAGCAGTGCAGGGGCAGGGGAGCACGTTTGAATGACTGATACTGGTGCCGGCATGCTTCACATGCCACCACCCCATTGACCCGAGTCATGCCTCGAGTCAGGGAGTAGTAGCGTGTGTTGCGGCACACACCACACTGCACAGCAATGCGCTTCAGGTCAGCCTGGCCCTGCTGCCGGGAGGATGCTTCTGTGGCACATACAAAGAGTGGTGATAGCACTGATGATTAATGCTTGTATGCTTCTGTTAACAATTACTTTAGCTGGAATGTTTTAGTGCATTAAGGTAAACCATAATAGTGATAAATTTTATAAGTGAATTGAAATAAAGAACAGTGGGAAATGAGCTAATTACATCATATATAAGGTATTGAGCTTGATTCAGTGTGTTGCTGATAATAACACTGACACGATACCGTAGGTACTACATATATTTAGACTTCAGAAACTGTTTCTCTAGCACTGGACATTAGAAATCTATAATAAACAGAAAATTATTACAAATGTAGGTTTGCATTTTTCATTGTTGAGTCAATCAACTGGGCTGACTTCTATCATAGTTTTAGTTGCTTGAATTAAAATAATTTGGTCTGGGCAGAAGCAAGTAGTGAAGTGGTTCAAATCTCCCACGTTGATGGCAAACAATTTAATGATGCTTAAGAAGGAGAAAGCTCATTAGTACTTAGCTATATAACAACCATAATAAAGTGATATGTATGTAGGACTTGTTTGTCATAAATGTTATCTCTGCTGTATCCATAGCTTGGTATTGCATCTTCAATTAAAAGTATTATATTTTGGAAAAGTCGGAAATGCTAAATAGTTTGTAAAAATGCGAAAATTAATAATTCTATAATTATTGAGAATCAACAGATTGAGTATATAATAATTTTGCATAAATCTGATGCAAGCAAGACATCAGGAGATATATAGGATACATTGGTTGATCCTTGTTGAAAGCCCTAGGTCTGTTGAGGTTCTACAACTTCTCCGTACTTAGCATTTTCTTGGTCTTCCTCCATGAGACTCTTATTTCCATGCCTGGTTGGGTTCAGCTCGAACTCAAATGAGTACTGATGGTCTGCTAAACACACATCCAGCCTGTTTTGCAGGTGTTGCATGTTGGCACTTTGACTACAATCTCCATCAGGCAATTCCACACGTCTGTCACTCTCGAGCTGAAGTAGTGCTTCTTAATCTTCAGGCAGGAGGGTTGCTTCTTTATTTCTTACTTATGTCCTCTTGTTTGTTTTTTGCGCACTGAGTAAGGTATCTCTTGACATTGATTTTGTAGAACCCATGAGACATCTGGTAAACCTTGATCAAACCTCCTCACAGCTATCTGTACATCAGGCTAGGCAACTTGAGTGCTTTCAGTCTCTCTTCATATTATAGGTTTGCAACTTCTGTTACCAGCTTTGTGGCTCTGCAGTTAATATTCTCTAAGAGAACAACATCCTTGAAAAATGGCGACCAGACTAAGTTGCAGTATTCTAGCTGCAGCTGTACTAAACTCTTGTAAAAGTAGCTCAGTGATTCCTTGTCAATGAGATTGAATGATCTTTGCACAAGCCCAAGAATCTGGTTTGCCTTACTGACAACCTTTTGGCAGCACTCAGCGAACTTGAGGGAAAGATCCATGTCAATGCCAAGGTAGTTTTAGCATGTTGTCTCTTCCAACCACATTTTTGCATTGGCGTCCTCCATGTAATACAGATGCTTACTGTTGTTTTGGCTCAGATGCATGACTTTAAACTTCATAGCAATGCAATAATAGCTGCCACTGGTAAGACCACTGCCAGAGGGCATTCAGGTCTGAGTTCTGACTGAAGTTGACCATGTTCCTCTTTTGTGTTGTGGTGTGGCACTGAATTGAAGGTTTTGGCATACTGTAATCTAGAAAGATCACATTGACTGGGTTGCCCTCATTAAACTATTTTTCCATTCACCAAAGCAATCCAAGAACTGTGTAATGGTTGAGTGACCGTTGAAATGGCCATGCTGTTTAAATTGGCATCATTTCATCTTGAAAGATGTTGGTTGTGCCACGCCTGTAATTGCACAACTTGCTGTTGGCAGAGCTTTGAAAGGCTTGCCAGGCCAATTCTAGCATGACAGTCACAACTGCAGTCGGGGCAAATGAAGCCTGATGAGACAATGTTCTGTGTCTGTCTAGCTTTCTGCTGACAACGCTTGTCTTCAAGACTCTGACTGTATAACTCTTTGCCCTTCCAGACTCCCTCCTAAACTGCCCATTGCCAACCACATTAGTTGTCCACAAGCTGCTCCCAGGTTTGGAGGTCGATACTTGCTGTTCTGAGACTTGGCTTGCAGACATCTTTAAAACACAATGCCGGGTGGCTGGTTGGGCATGCACCCATTTCAAGTTCTCCATAGAGCAAGTCCTTGAGAATGAGATGATCCTGCATGTGATGCATGCAATTGAGCCACATGAGACGGTGCTGGCACAAGAGGAGATTCGTGCTCATTGAGCCAGCTTGTTCCAAAACAGAAATGTTGTGTGTACTGGTAACCTGTTAAAAATAGCCTCATGTGCTGGCAAAGGTTCCCTTGAACAACGCTTTCCATTACTCTGCACACAACTGATGTTAAGATTCCTGGGTGGTAGTGGGCTGGGTGAGTTTTCTTCACTACATTGGGCTGACTTGGCCATCTTTCCACTCTTTTGGCAAACAACTCTCTCAATGACAAGTTAAATAGTATAGGCCAGTGGTTCCCAACAGGCTGGTGCCCCCTTTGGCTTCATAGTGAATTTCTAGTGCCCCCTACAGACATATGCCTCTTTCCTGAAATTTAGTCTGCAGCAAGTTTAAAAGATAAAGGTTAAGCACAAATGTGTATTTCACAAATAGAACCCCATTTAGTGAACCAATGTTTTTCAGCTGTTTTAATGATTTCAAAATTTATGGCCGGACTTGTTGTAGGTGCAGGCCCTCATTATGGTGTTTATCGCTTGCTAGTAGTCCAAGTTTAGTTTATAAGGAAGTAATACTTTTTTTAAGCTTTAGCGTTCAATAGAGATATAATTAAATAGAAGAGTGAATCGTTTTAACTGGTGTTTTAATGCTGCTGGTTCATCCAATAAAGATTTCTGCTATTCCTTTAGGCTTCAGCTAGCCCTATCTCAGTCATTACTTATAAATTTCTTTGCATTTATTTTTTGTGTTTTCTGTACTATGCAATAACCCATGTTTTGTCTTTTTCTCCCTGGTGTTTTCACAGTTAGAGAACTTGCAATGTGTTGTTCTAATGACCAACTAGCATTCTAAAGCATTGCACAGTGGTTGACCTGGTGAGTTCCCCTGTCGCCACTTGTTTGAGTTAATGATGGTTGGGTTGAGACATGCGTTAGTTTGGCTGATGACCAACAAAGCTTTGTCTGAGATTAACCTAAGTCTGATGGATATATAATATATGCCTCTCACTCAATCAATTAATAGTTTTGATACTTAAATTGTTATGATAATGTTATTTAATCTTGTGCTGCATTTAAATGCTAGTCAATCAGTTAATGAGTACTATATTTGTCTATAATGATTGCGCAAATAATGTTTTTTTCCAATGTTCTTCAATTTACCCTTTTTTTAAAACAAGCTAATTTCTTGTGTTATTTCAGGGTTCTTGGTTTGGGCAAGACACTAAAGTCTGTCACTTATGCACCCCACTTTTTCTTTTCCTTAGTTTACATTTGTACGCTTCATTTCTTTTGTGTTTATATTTTCTTGTCAATCACGCTCCGTGTTTCATTTTTCTTCACCCCATGGCTAAACCAAACCAGAGATGAAATGTTGATTGGAGTCAGATATAGTTGAAACCTGTTGTTGTTGTTGTTGTTCGCCCTCCCCGTCCCGCGACAAGTGCAGGACGGGGCCTACACCCATTTCTGTGG